TATATATATATATATATATATATATATATATATATATATATATATATATATATTACAAACTATATTGCCGACATGACCTCCAAGAATTAGTGTCAAAATACCATTTACTTACACTGTTATACTAGCGCTCTCTAGTGTTCACAATAAAAGAATAAATCTGCTGTTAACAGATAGGGGGCGCTAATTATAGTTCTTACAGTAGAGAAGCAAATCAATGACAGTTTGAATATAACTTAAGGAAAAGGAATAAAAACATAAAAAAATAAAAAAGCTGATAAGTCACAGATTTTTTTAAATATTTGAGACATGGGACAAAACAGGTCCAGCAAGGGTAACTGCTATTAGGTTTAAAAATAAAATTATTTTAAATTTTAAATTGGGATTAATAATAGAATGTATTTAACACAATTATCACCTTCAATTTAATTATTATACCAAATCTGTGTTTCTTAATGTCCTCTCACTACATCTAAAACAGTGTGTCCACAGAGAAGGGTTCAATCATTCATATGCAATAAAATGGATAATGTTTTTTTAATGATGAAAACGAGCTTGTTTTATCAAAAGCAACACTTAATAATATCTCCTATCAAAGCAAGATTGTTTTTTTAATGACACATGCATGTTTCATAAGATTTTAAAGTTGCGTCCCCACTTTTTGTCAACACCGTCAGACATTCAATAAAATGTAATAAAATTAGGGAATATCAGGGGCAGCCGTCACTCTAAAGGACCCCCTCACCACAGTTCACCTCTGCAGTCAAATGATTACACATTCAGGTTTTCGTCACCACCGTCAGATGTGTCAACTCCCTCAGTTCTGTCACCTCCGTCAGTTGAATATTTTGATAATATTTCATTATGATATTTTATATTTGTTGTGGAATTATTGATCACATGTGAACTGCTAACACGAGAATGTGTTTTGAAATGTTAAAAACATCTTGAATGCTGTTAAAGATAACGCTGAAATTATATTACACAGTCCAAGCTAAAAAAGCACATTTTGTTAAAAAAGAGAAAAGTTGGGAGGTTGTATCAAAGCATAGCTCAGTAGCTTAGTACATAAGATACATAAATGTAGATTAATTTGTCTGAGTACAAGGTTTTATTTTTTGAATTTTGCACCCTGTTTTGTCCCACTTCTCAAGAATGACAGTGCCTCTTTTACAAAACATGAATAAAACAGTTTATTGCTATCTACACAAGAGTTCATAAATCTATTCTTACATGAACTGCCTTAAAATGATTTATGTAAGCAAAAAGGTACAAGAAAACACACAATTAGCCTAAATTATTCAACCAGCAATTCAAAACAACACAATTTTAGCAGGACACAGTCTCGGGAAATTGAAATATTGTATCAGAAAAGCCATATGCTAAAGAAAATCTGGTAACACTTTAGAATAATGGTCCGTTGTTAACAAGTAACTATGCAGGAAGTAATAGGTAGTACTACATTAACACTTAACTTAATACTATTAACTAATAGAGAAGCAAGATTAACTAAGCAGTAAGTAGTAGCAAATTTAGGACAAAGGTAGTTCCTTATTAGATATTTGATAATTACTAAACAAATATATCCTCATTGAGAACTACTTCTGAACTATGACCAGTTAATAAAGAATAACCAATTAATTACTAATCACAACAGTAACGTCTTAAAAGTGAACAATTGGGTTCTTTCTGGAAACTAATTTATGAATTTGATATCCCCCAAATAAGTCAGCTACATTTAAAAATTGTGACTACTACTCTTACCAAAGGATGGATGTACAAACTTAAACATAGAATAATAATAAAAATGAAAATTCACTTAAAAATTTTAATAATTAAACACAATTATTGTAAAAAATAAATTAAATAAATGCAAACTGATGGTTTCAACAAATGCATAAACAATCGATTAACAACCTCTGAGCTCACAACTGGTCCATTTATAAAGGTTTAGTGTTTAAAAAACATTTTATTTTGTGTGTTATTTTTTTGTTTATTCTCTACTGAAAAAAGAGCATGCAACTGTTATCAACCTCTTTAGTGTTTTTAAGACATATACTCCTTTCTTTTTCTTCATCGTTTTCAGTAAATGAATTGTATGTAAACTACCTTAGCATTTGGTAAAGGGACTTTGAACTTTGAATGGGAACTTCATTTAGTTCTACCTGAATTTCAGAATAAAATAGTGATAGAATTTAAATTAAATTACAAACAATGTATGTTTTCCCGACTGGAGACGTTGCTGAGTTCAGTCTCAGGTTTGTTGATTTAAATAAAGCTGGAAGTACTTTGAAAGTTGGAAGTTGTACCTTGCTGTTGTTCAGTCCACCGCAATATGCCCTGTCTATAAATGGAGAAAGTTCAGCGCTGCTTCTGCTGCTCTTAATGTTAAGAAGAATCTTCAGCTCAAGTGTCAGTGAAAGGCTTTAGCCCTGAAGGAAAATGTGGTTGTTTCTAAAGACAAAAACAGCATGGAAGGACAACACAGAAAAAGCCATATTCCATAGACAGACAAAGCACATGAGTACATTATCTTTTACCTTTAACAAAAGACAATACATCTTCTGAAGTTGACCGTAAGAATAATACTTAAATGAAACAGTGTTTTTCAAATAGAAATGGTGCAGGATTCCTCCTGACCACTGTGTTGCAATGACAGGAAATGTTTGGTGGAAGTTACTGCAGCCAAAGCAGAAACAACCACTTTATAATCATTTTCTCAAACCCGACTTCTCAAAATAATGAAAACATACATTGTTTGTGTTTAATTTAAATTCTATCACTAGTCTTTGCTGAAATGTAGGTAGAAGTAAATAAGTTCCCATTCAGAGTTCCCTTCCTTTGGCCTAAACGTGCCTCTTGCAGTATTTTTTTATTTTTCATTTGGAAACCAACAATTAAGCTATAGTATTTGTTTCTAGACTAGATTATTAAATTAATCTAGTCCAAACAAGAGTGGGAGAGGTCATAAATCAATACTGTGTCATTAATATAGAGACTGTGATTTAGAAAGAAAATAAAAAGATCAGCAGAATTGAAGTACAACCCACAACAGACACGTACTAACACAGACTGCAGCAGTTTTCATCTCAGTGATTATACACTCACTACAGGACTTTTATTTCCCTTTTTCTGAACTGCTGAAGAAAATGTTTTGCTTGTTTGTTTTTTGCTGTTTGTGCTTTTGGCTTCTGGTTGGTAAGTTTGAAAAATGTGTATAGTTTCAGTTGTACCAGAATCATAAATCAACATTTATGGTCTCACATTCAGTGCGTTTTTTATTGACATCTTAAATGATGAAATCAGAATTCGTAGTGTTTTATATATCGGTTGGCTTTTTTTCTGTCTGACGGTACAAGTATCTGCAATATAAATAAAGCTTATATCCAATCAGAATTTAAGACCGGAAGGGGCTTAAATCTTATTTAAAAATGTAAAACAAAACAACTTACTTTCCTACGTTCTGAAAGCCGAATGTACCGATAATGCAGTATAACTGGCTTTACTCATATATGTCAGTTTGAGTGTTTATAATAGGACTGTAATACTGTTCATTCAGATCATCTAGAGATTCTGTACAATAAGTGTCTTACTTTGTTTGCTACTGAAATAACCGATCATTATTAATACCAGTCTGAAAGCAGATCATACTGTTGTGTTTTGATGAACACTGAAGAAGGCTGTTAGCCAAATTATTTGTATTATCTTATGCCCTGTTGTGATTTACTAGAAAGCAAAATAACTAGTTTTTTGTACTTTTAGAGTTTTAAAAAGTTGCCCCTTGAAAAAATAGTGCAATAAAACGGTGAAATTGAGAGATCTGAGTGTTTCGTTCATAGATTTTTGGGAAACAACCACAAATGGTGTTCACACATGACTGATGATTAGGATCCTGTATATCTTTGCAATGCTCCACATTAAACTTCATATACAGTATGTTGTTGTCACAATGCCCTGACCTAATGGTTAAAAGTTTTGTTTTCAGTAATTTTACTCGCCTAAAATCATCACCAGAGATGCTGATGTCCAGTTAAATGTACTCAAAACAGACCAATCTCTCTGGTGGTTTGCCATGTAATGGCTGCTGCAGCTTTATTTCACTTCTGATATTTCAGTTCAATGAGAGCCAGTGCTAAAAGTCCTTCACACACAGTCTGGTCACTTTTCTGAAAAATAAAGCTCACTTCACCGCAGTGTTCAGAGTCTCAAGAAAGTTTGTGATCATTTCAAATCTACAAGCTTAAAGATAAACCTAGATTAAACCAATGTTAATATATTCATTTTTACTTTAACAAGAACTGTAATGTGCAACTGTGAAACTCTGATCTCCAGTGTTTGCTGATCCAGATGCAGTGAAGTCAGTGTCAGTGACGGAGGGAGAATCAGTCACTCTACAGACTAATGTTACTGAACTACAGCGTACAACTCTGATAACATGGACATTTGGACATCCAGAGACTCGCATAGCTCAAATCAATAAAGAGGAGAGAAAAGTCTCCACATCTGATGGTGATGCTGTGGGATTCAGAGACAGACTGCAGCTGGATAATCAGACTGGATCTCTGACCATCACAAACACCAGAACCACAGACTCTGGAAATTATACAGTAAACATCAAAGATCCCACAAAACAGACCACATACAGATTAAAAGTTACTGTCTATGGTGAGTCACAATTGCACGTGCGCTTGTTCTGTCTATACTATTTATTAGAAGAAGAAAAAAAAATCTTAAAATGGGCTTCTTACCACTGGCTTAACTTTGATGATTTGGCATTCATAATTTAAAACAACATCTAAAACAAACTGCTTAGAAGAACAAATTCCAGAAAAGTTGGGACGTTTTGCAAAATGCCATAAAATCAAGAATATGTCATTTGTTCATTCTCTTTAACCTTCATAACCTTCAAAGTACAAAGACCAGATTTCCAATTATTTCTCCGGCCAACTTAATTGTATTTTGTAAATATAAACAAATTTTGATTTTGATAGCTGCAACACACTCCAAAAAATTGGGACAGAGGCATATTTACCACTGTGTCACATCAACTGTCCTATTAATTAAACATTTGAATAGTCTGGGAATTAAGGATGCTAATTTTTTTAAAGTTCTGCAAACAAAATTGTTCCCCAATCGTGCTTGATACAAGACTTCAGCTGCTCATCAGTCTGTGGTCATCGTCTGATTCTTCTTTTCATGATAGGTCATACATTTTCAATATTTGCAGGCCGGTCAGTCACATCCACACGTGTCTACAAAACCACATGCAGAATGAAACATGGCATTGGCTTGATTTAAATAACCATGGACAGCATGCAGCATGATGGTTTCCTATGCAATGCCATCTGAGGCCTCAAAGGTTGTCCACATTCAACTGAACTGTCTTTTCTCGCCCCTTACATACTGATTTCTCTTGATTCTCTGAATCTTTTCACAATATTATGCATAGTAGATGGTGAAATTTTTGCATTGAGAAATGTGATTTTTCTGTCAATTATGTCATGAAATTTGTCACAAAGTGATGATCCAGCTTTCCTGGCAAATACTGTTGACTGAGATGTCCCTTTTACACCCAATTACGATCCTATTAAATCTATTATTTTATATATTTTTGCAAAATACATTAAAGTTGGCCAGTCAAACATTCAAAACTTTTTTCTGTGTACTTTTGTGAATTTGATAAAGGTTAAAGAGAATTAACAAATCACTGATTCTTGATTTTACTGCATACACAAACTGGTGGTCTCTAGGCATCTTTTCATACTATGAAAAGTTCAGTGTGTTTGTTGTCTGTCCTTATAGAACAGGAATTTCACAAAATACCTAATTTATTTTTAATGAAATGTTAAATTCTGTTTAAGTTACATTTGGGCTAATAATATTTTCTGTAGCATTTTTCACAGACTCCACACTCTCCTTCACATTCTCCAGGCTCTGCATCTCAGAAAAGGCTGATCTCTGCAGCTGTTGCTGGATCTCTGTTGATTGCGGCTGCTGTCGGGATCTACTGGATCTACAGGAGACACAGAAAAACAGACCAAGAAGGCAAGTGTTACCAACTGCTGACACATCTGTAAAAGTATAAAAATAATAAAACAATAAAAAAAATAATAATGAAGTAGTTTAAAAAAAAGAAAGAAAAATAAACAATGTAATATAGAGTTTTTTGTTGTTTTTGTGTTGATTTAATGATTATTGTAGACGCCCCTAACTTCAATAGTTAATAAATAAGTTTAGATTTCAAAACAGCTACTGTATTTCATTAGAGAAATGACCAAACAGGGTAAGAAACACATGGCCATGGTCAGGTACAGATCTCTCATCCTCATAAAAACAATTGTAAAAACACTTCTAATGATACAGTCCAGCATGTTTTTGCTAAACAAGCACTGTTAAGCTGTCTCACCGGAAACTGGGGCCTACAGAAAGCCAATATGAGAAAAAAGTAGCACATTTCTGCTGATTTATGCATGAATGTGTGTGATAAAGAAAACATGAAAAATAAAACAGATATGTCACTGCTATGTTGTATAAGGAGACAGGTTACATTTTCTGCTGGATAGAATTTACAAAAACCTGAAATGAAACATAACAGCGTATGTAACACGCTGATGATAATGGCCTCTGGAATGTATATGCAATCATTTAAAAAATAAATAAAATTCATAAAAATGATTATGACGTCATGTTTTAATTTACACAGTAAACCTGATGTGCAGCACTTACATTTCCACTTTATTACATTTTAAAATATTAAATTGTTAAAGTTTGGTTTCCACAGTTTTTGATAATAAGCTAGTATTTTTACATTACATTATTTTGACATTACAATATATGTGATGCAACAAAAGAAAAGTGGTCAAACTGCCCAGCACATCTTAGCATGCTGAAGACTACCACACTGAATGTTTAATATATTAGCAAACAATATATGTTTGTAAGTGTTTTTGAACAAATCTGAGATGTGTCTCTTTCTATCTTCTATCTTTGTGTCTTTCAGGGAGTCAAACAGGAGGATGAGGTGGTGTATGCAGGCGTCCTCACGAGAAATTGATAAAATCCATAATCAATGTTAGTAAAGCACGCTAGAGCAGATTATAAAGCTGTCTTTCTGCCCAAAAATGTTTTCATATTGTTGCGATCAAAATAAGTGAAAAGACTTACTTGATGATTCTAGGCTTTGCTTTTATTAAGGTAAACGCTCATGAAAACCACAGCATGGGCTCCGAATTCAAAAAGAACACAAACACAGGATACATGGCTTAAATCACACCTGACAGAACATAACACACTTTTCAGACTTGCTTCAATATGCTTTTATTTGTACAGAAAGTATGCCAGCACATAGGACGTTACAAAGCAATACAGCGTTAGCATTCCGCTTGAAACTCATCTTTATGTATGTTAAATTGTGGGGTAAAACCAGACCCTAGGTTATATATTGTACTGACTACTCATCAATTAATATTTGGCATCTTATATTCAGTGTGACTTTTTGTCAGAATCTATTCAAAGACATCCTTTAGATTTGTGTTGTACAAGGGGTTGCAAGGTTAGATAGTGTTAGTTAGCAAGACAAACCCAGTTTTCATTAGAAGTAATGTGCAAGAATATACACAAACTACACAATCAAAAGTGTATTCAGATGTAATTTAATCAATTTATATTAAAAACAAAATTTTTCAAGCAGTTTACCAGTTAGCTCTTGGGACAAAATGGTGTGTGAAAAAAAGCCATAGACTAAAGAAAATCTCACCATGAGAGATTCAATCTTCAGATACAGACTTGTGAGGGATGACTTGCCAAGTCAAGGTGGTTTGAGGATTCAGTGACTTGCTTTGCGGCTACTAGTGTGTTCTGTGTAGTAATCTAAGGAGCCAAATCAACATTTTACATCAAATATTGCTCGGGTCCCTCGATGCAAGTATGTGGGAATTTTGCACCTGTTTTATATTCCACCAGGTGAAAATTGTGAAGTAAAATACATAAATATGCATAAAATTTAACTCAAAAATACATTTTATTATTAAGCAAAGCATCCTGAACATTAATCTAACTGCACATTTAATATACATATATATATATATAACTTAAAACATTAATAAAAACTACCAATAACATCAAAAAAAAGAAAAGAAAAATTTTATATATATATATATAGCATCTGTCACATGTCCCTGCTATCTAAACCTAAAATTTATCATGGAATATAATCATTAAAATCTTTCAGAAAAAAAAAAAAAAATATATATATATATATATATATATAAATATATATATAAAAGGTGACTCCATTTCTTTTTCATAAGAAATCCATAATATGCAGTGGTGGAAATGGCCAAGATTGACTGGGGGGACCCTAGTTCGGGACATATTTTATATTTCAAAAAACCCTAGAAACTCATAGCTCAACAGTAAACCATGAGAAAACATGCTGAAGTAGGCTATGTAAACTTGCAACTGAGCGCATTAATATTGTTATTTTAAATTTGATTATTTATAATTATTAATTATTATTAGTCTTTTTTTTGACAGTTCTGCAGCTGTTACCAGAATGGGATGAATTTTTATAATTTCTTTATTCATTTGCTTAACTATTTGTCCCATTTTTGTGTAAATAATTGAGCATTTTTTTAACTATTTAAAATGCCAAATGACATGATTATTTATTATCTATATATTGATTGTTGATTAATATAAATGATAAATTAATAGATAGGGTATAACATAAAATAGGCCTATAATCTATTAATTAATCTGGCTAATAATGCCTAAAAATATAATAATTATGTCTACTAAGCTCTGATAATGTATGAAATATATTAACAGGCTATCCAAATTTTAATAAAACAATAGGCCTATACCTTTAGAAGCATGGATGTGTTTGTCAGTTTAAAGGTATGGTTCACCCCCCAAAATGAAAATTCTGTCATAATTTACCCAGGTTTTTCTAAACCTGCATAAAGTTCTTTCTTCTGTTGAACACAAAAGAAGATACTTTGAAGAATGTGGGTAACTAAACAGCTGCTGGTCCTCAGTAACTTCCACAGTAGATAATAAATACTATCAGAGTCATTGAAGACCAACCGTTTGGTTACCCACATTCTTCAAAGTATCTTCTTTTATGCTTAACAGAAGAAAGAAATTATTACAGGTTTGTAACAACTTGTGGGTGTGTAAATTGATTTGATACGGGACACATCATTTTACCTTTAAATACGGGACGATTCCGTATTTTAAGGGACGGGTGGCAACCCTAAACTTAACACACTTGCCTGGAAGTTGTTGATGTTGTTGTTCTTCTTCTTCTTTTAGTTTTATAGCGGGTTACAATAATGACTTATCAGGTGCATACCGCCACCAACTGTAACGGGGTATGTAGCATCAATTATGTTCGATAAAACTACTTTACATGCTATTAATATTAACAAAACAAAACAAAAAAACGAAATCCTATAATATATCCCTATGTCTTTCAGATATCCCACAACAGGTTTTTGTGCATCCTCTACCTCTTCTTGTATTGTTCCCAAATTATGCACCCTAAAGCTTCCATTTTCTTCCAGACTAACTAATCTCCTCTCTTCCCTACATTTCCTACAATTTAATAGTATATGTGCTGCACTTTCTATGATTTTACATTCCAAATATTCATCTGGCACAATGTTTTATTTAGCCCTGTGTGGTCAAATCTCAGTCTGATTAAAACTGACTCCTTCTAATCACAACCATGTGCATTGGCAGATTTCTGTACACTGTAATATTTTCTTCCACTATTATCCATGTCCCATTTGACCCTATATACCCAGTGTTGGTATATATTCCTATGCCTACCCTATCGTCTTCATCTTTGGACCCATCTGTATGAATATTTGCTTCTTATGTAGGCCTACTGCCTTGCCAAGTGTCCTTTTCACTCGCTCCCCATTTTCCTTTGCTTTCATTATATTTAAATCTACCTCAGTTTTTGGAAACGGCCAAATAGGGATTTTACAGCAGGAGCAAGATTGGACACCCCTGCCCTATAAGCAATTGCCTGCTCTGCCTATAGGTAGCCCCAGCCCTGCCGTTACATGTGCTTTAAAGGTGGGGTAAGCGATTTCTAGTAGCCAATGTTGACATTTGAAATCACCTAAACAAACACGCCCCTACCCCAAAAGGTTCTCGCGCCTATTTTTATAGCTCCGCCCCACACATATGTACGCAAACCAGGCAATGATTAGTTCTGTGAAACAAAGCAAAACCAATGTTACGCCGTGTATACACCGGACGCGAGTGGCGGTCTACACTGGATGCGGCGCGGCACGACACGACAAATCCCCGACAGAAAAGTGCTGCTGTGTTCTATTTATGAGTATTGACACAAATTTCAAATGATTTTCAATGGTCGCTTTGTCGCGTCCAGTGTAGACAGACTTTAGCTTTTGCGGCGCAGACAGTGTTACTCACCTATCGAGAAGAAACAAGAAACATCCGTGTCTGATCACAGGCCTTCCGCTCCTTGAGTTCTCTCCAGCGCTGGAAAGCTAATCCGATATTTACATGGGTTCTACTTCTTGCCTTATTGCCTCAAACCTTCATTTGTTCTGCAGACGTTTTCCTCTTTTGTTTTTTTATCCGCCATCTCTATCTTTCTGTTGCTCGGCTCGCTAATGTCTGTCCTGTGCACTGAACTCTCTCTCCTCCACATCATGAGTAGACAAGCCCCTTACTGCTGATTGGCTACAAGTTTGTTTCGCTATTCGGCCCGAATCAGTTTTCTAAAGCGTTTTTTAAAAGTCGCTTACCCCACCTTTAACCTAAGGAAAGCAGATGTAAACTTTAAAATTATTTGACCACTAGAGGGAGAAATAATTTTCTCTCAGAGTAAACGACGCCTGTAATGTGCTATTTACAGGCAAGAATGACCATTTCTTCATATTAAGGATATAAAGTACACCACTTTTTAAATGTAAATTAGCATTCAAAAACCATAAATAATTACTTTTTTGACATCGGATACCACATTATCACATTTAAAGTCATAAAAACCACTACAGGCTAAT